TCACACATCAGTAAAGTGGTTTAAAAAAATACAGATATAGAGACCAATGGAACTGAATACAGAGTCCAGAAATAAGCCCTCACATATACAGTCAAATGATTTTCAACAAGGGTGCCAATACCATTCACTGGGGAAAGGAGAGTCTTTTCAACATGATGCTGGGAACACTGGGTATCCACATGCAAAAGAAGGAATATGGACACTTATATACAAAAATTAACTTAAAATGTATCAAAGACCTAAACTTAAGGCCTAAAACTATAAAACTCCTGGAAGAAAACATAGCGCAAAAGCTTCATGACATTAGATTTGGCAATGATTTCTTGGATATGACACCAAAAGCACAGGCAAAAAGGAAAAAGTAGAACAACTGGACTTCTGTGCATCAACAGGTAGTATCAACAGAGTAAAGCAGTAACCCACAGAATGAGAGAAAGTATCTACAAGTCATACATCTAATAAGGAATTGATATCCAGAATATATAAAAAACCCCTAAAAATCAACAACCAAAAAACAGCACAATTCAAAAATAGGCAAAGAACTTGAACAGATATCCAAAAAAGATACACAAATGGCCAAAAAGCACATGAAAAATGCTCAACATCACTGGTTATCATGGAAAACAAAACTATAATGAGATACTACTTTATACCCATTAGGGTAACTATTATTTAAAAAAAAAAACAAACAGAAAATAATAAGTGTTGACAAGGATGGAGAAATGGGAACACTTGTGCACTGCTGATGGGAATGTAAAACGGTGTAGCTACTATGGAAAATGGTATGGTATTTTCTCAAAAAATTCAACATAGAATTACCATACAATCCAGAAATTCTGTTTCTGGCTATATACTCAAAAGAAGTTAAACAGAGACTCAAAACAGATTATCTGTATACCCATGTTCACAGCAGCTTTATTCACAATAGCCAAATGCAGAAGCAACCCGAATGTCCATTGACTGATGAATGGATAAATAAAATGTGGTATATACATACAATGGAATACCATTTGGTCTTAAAAAGGAAGGAAAATTTGACACATGCTATAACACTGATGAGCCTTAAAGACCTTACGCTAAGGGAAATAACCTAGACACAAAAGGACAAATACTGGGTGATTCCGTTATATGAGATTCCTAGTGTAATCAAATTCATAGGAACAAAAGCAGAATGGTGGTTACCAGGGGCTGGAGAATGGGGGAGGGTAGTTAGTGTTTAACAGATAATAGTTAATGTCTTGAATAGTTAATGTCTTGAAGTGTACACTTAAAAGTGGTTGAGGGTAAATTTCATATTATGTGTTTTTTACCACAGTTAAAAATTTTTAAAGAGGTTACAATGGTAAATTTATGTTATGTTTACTTTATCACAATAAAAAAAATGAAAGGAGCAGTATACCTTTAGTTATCACCTCTTCACACCTCCTCATCCTTTGACTTAACTCTGGGTGATCTCAATATTAGTAATGATCTCTATATTAATAAATACTGATAACATTCTAATGAGTTATCTTGTTAAAAAAAAAAAAACAATACACACCAAAGAGATCACTTTTATCTTATAAGGATTTAATCTTGGTAACCAAAAGAAATACTTCTTGCCCAGAGGTGTAAGTCTAGCTGGTAATGAAACAGCCTAAAACATTGCTGGTATTCTGGCCTATGTGGATTAATTTTTTTTTTTAAAGATTTTATTTATTTGACAGAGAGAGACACAGCGACAGAGGGAACACAAGCAGGGGGTGTGGGAGAGGGAGAAGCAAGCTTCCCGCGGAGCAGAGAGCCCGATGCGGGGCTCGAACCCAGGACCCCAGGATCATGACCTGAGCTGAAGGCAGACGCTTAACAGACTGAGCCACCCAGGTGCCCCGTGGATTATTTTTAAGCTGAAAACTTTCTTCTACGTCATGACTGACTCTAAATCAGCCTGTGGCTGTGCTTTTGTCTCCCACCTTCAGGTTGCCAGGTAACCTTAACTTAGGAGTAGATTACACTCAGAATTCAGAGTGAGAAGTCTCTACTAGCAGGGAAGAAAATGCCTTTTAAACTGCTCTGGGAAATCAGGATTAATTCACATCCAAGCTTTCCCAAAATATGCCATAAGGAGGCCTCAGACTTCACCAAAGGAAGAAGATAAAGACAGCAAAGGGCCTCCTGTCTTTGGATGCTATTCATGATTCCCCTCCTCCATGTTACCACAGATCATTCACTTGGCATGCCATTTCTACCTCCTAGTTGCATCTCTAGTAGAAGTATTTAACCATGTCTGTTTATGGGGATGTGCATACGTGTGTGTGTGTGTGTGTATGTGTGTGTAAAATGTGCACATATTCTCAGCTACATTAAGAAGCAGAGTTCTTGAGGACAAAAATAAAAAGACAGTTTGTCTTTCCTTAGCACCAGATTCAGTGTCATATACATAGAAGTTCTCAATACTGAGTATAATTTAATTAAGGAATAAAAAAAATGAGCACTTGCCACTTTGTGTTCTATAAGTAGAACTTAGAAAATGTTATACACAAATATAGTCATATAATACTGAATATAAATTTATCAAAAAAGAACAATATCCATTTTTTCCTTTTTAAATAAAAAAAGAAATGCCCATTTCCCTAACAGCTTAATTTATTAATTCCACATTTGTGTCAACACTGAAATGCCTACCTACCATGTTTTAGTTACTATTCCAGCTTACTAGCAGTTTGATTTACTGGATAGGAAAGTCGACATCATCCCTGCTGTTCTGAAGCTGACAGTGCACAGGAGAAACAGACGTTACATAAATACGCCTACCAGTAAATGCAAGGCAATTAAGTGGGATAATCACCATGAGGAAAGCCAATCAAGGCTTCCTGAGAGACAAACAAGAGATCCAGCAGAGATGGAGGAATCAGAAAAGTCTGGGAGCCCTGTGACATCTGAGCTGAGACCTAAGGAATTAAAGTGTGCTATCTAGGCCCAAAGAAAGGACTTTGTAAGTGCAAAGTTCCTAAGCTAAAAAGGAGAAAAAAAAAAAAAAGGAATAAAAAAGTGAGGACTTCTACTTCTGGGAAGATGGAACAGAAGTACTTGCCACTACTCCTCCTGCTAAGTACAACTAAAAGCCATGGACATTATACATAAAATAAACATAAGAAAACTCTGAAGGGTAGAAAGAAGAAAGCAGACTCACCAGGGACCCCAGGACCCTAAGGAGCACATGGTGATGAGTTCCCAGGGATTCCTCTTTACCTGTATGTACCAAACTAAGGGCTGAGGAGGCAGAACCAGAAATGCCAATGGGCACAGACAAAAAACAAGCAAGAAAGCCTGCTCTCTAGCCAAAGGGCCAGCACAGGGGCAGCCAAGCAAGACCAAACTTTGAGACACTCTAACCAAACACCACAGAAATACTGTGGCCCCACCCCACGCAGCCAGCAAACCCCTGGAGGAGTGCCACCTGCAACAACACTCCCATAGGCCAGGCAATCTCCCAAATCAAGTGAGAAGAGCCAGGCCCTGGATATCTGATGTTAAGGCATCGCCAAGTACAAAAGAAAGCAGTAGCAATGGGAATATACAGAACACTGGACTGGCCAGAAATCTAGAGAAAGTGAAGGCAAAATCAAGAGGTGGGCAGTGAACACACCGAGCACAGGCTCACAGCAGAGCTCTGCTCAATTTGGGGGAAGGGATGGTTTTCAGGTTTTCCATTTCCTTGCGTCTCAAGACATACTCCTCTTGCTCTGGGTCCCACTTTACCAGGAAATCTTCTAAGAAACCAACTGTTACAGTCATTGGGAAAGATCTCCTTATGGTAAATTAATTGCCTGGCATTCTGGTCAGTCCTTTATGAGTCTCATTAGTTTTAAGTGTAAGTCAGTCCCTAAAGCCTAATTAACTCTGAATGTATTGGCAAAGTAAGGGCCATATCCTATATCAAGAAGGTATGCTATGAGCCTGGGCAGCTGGCCATCCCCTGTCTAAGATACCTGCTTTGATCTCTCACACAGGTGAGAAATCAGCCTTGCAAACAACTCTCCAAAATCCTATTCAACTCTCAAAATTCAAAACAGACCTACTTTTCTCTGCTAGAGCCATTCCCTTTCCCTCCTACTCACTGCTGTCTAAAATCCTTCTCCAAACGCATATTCTGCATATAGCATCTACCATGAACACAGATTCCTATTAAATACGCAGGAAGAGTAAATACAGCAAAGCACAATCTCTTCCTTCAGCCACTACTGGAAATGTACAAGTCCAGTTTCATTTCTAGTCAGCCCTCGGGCCTGAGGCCTTAGGACCGCTCTATAATCCTGCTAAATTCTGCTTTAATAACTTTCCACAACTGTTCTATTTTTTAAATATCTAAAAATGAAAGGTCAGAATCTTCCTGACAATAATAATCACTAGCAATAAAAAAATTCCTGCAAATTCTTCCCTTTCCAGTTGGTCAGTACTGAATTTTCAAAATGTCACAGTAAGCTACATTCAGAAACATGATAAAATGAAAACCTAAAAAGTACACAAACAGCCTACTTGTACTTTGTATGTGAAATTATGAGTCTTCCTGTTATACATTACATTTGGTGTTTTAGTTTCACAATGAATTCCACACCTGTTGCTAATGAGACTTAAACTGTTAATCAAAAAGCATTTCTTGGGGTTTATTTGCTTAATAAGAAAGTAGAAATGACAGATGCCTAGAAGAGACTAAAAAAATATTAAATCTACAGAAATCTATTTCAAATAGGATTTATCTACTCAGCATTAGACAGGTCAGTAGAACGGCTGGAAAGGCCACTTTCCCATCCGCACCATGGTGATTTTTTCATACCTGGGCAACAACTGGGAATGCACAGCCTCAAACCTCAGGTCTTTCCATTACCTGAACCAGGAAATGCATGTCGCCAAATTGCTAGTCATTGACAGTCGGGGACATCACTGCTTTAGGTTATCTCTGCTTTAACAGAGACATCTGATGTGGAGACTATTTAAAATAGGTTTAAATTTTCACTTACCTCCACTGCTACTACAATCAAAATGAGGTCCAATTTTGACTCTGGGAAGAGGGCGTTCACTTGTGGTGACATTCCAATGAGAGCACAGTTGGTGACCACAGATACGACACTCATTGTTTCAAAAGCCAACTAAAAGTGGGAAAAAATGTGAAATTAAAAACCACAATGACCTCTTCCATATTTCCTCATCCTTTTTTTGTATTATCCAAAATCAAAGGAAAAGCCTTTCCCTTGTTCTAAATATTCCAAGTACATTTTAAGCTTTTTCTCTATAATGCTGTGATTTTCTTTAGCTTAAAAAAAGCCACACTGTTACAAGGCATTTTAGATACTTTTGGCTTGAATAGCCAAAGCAGTATGTTCTACCTTCCCAACTGGAGGTGGCCAGGGACCTGAGAATTTGGAATACATCCTAGAGGAGTACGCTGTTAAGGTTACTCTACTCATATCTATAGGGAATCTAAAATGGGGCCACCAGAAAAAATGTTTCACTATGATTTCAAATAGAATTTATTTTGTGACTGCCCTACTTTGACACATCACACACCACATCTGGTTCAGCTATACCTGAGGCACCGTAACAGTGATCCTTTTCTAGTGGCATTTATTTGTGAGACTTTAGAAAAATACAGATGCCCCGCTGAGCTACTTAACAAACTGATCCAAGGTCCCATGAGGAGTCTCATGGAGCACAGTACTGAGAACTGACTGTGGAAATGTTGTGACCACTGCTTGGTAGCTCTTTCATTCCTTTAATGTGTAACACTTGACCACTACTTAATAACCACTGGGAGTGGGAGATACAGGCTTCCAGTTACAGAATGAAGATGTCATGGGGATGAAAGGCACAGTGTAGGGAATACAGTCAATGGTAACAGCATTGTATGGGGACAGATGGTAGCTAACTTGTGGGGAGCACAGCATAACATACAGACTTATCCAATCACTATGTTGCACACCTGAAACAAATGTAACACTATATGTCAACTGCATTTTAATTTAAAAAAATCAGAAAAATGTCCCACTAATTCTAAGGAATACAATTACTTTTAGAAATTAAAATTAAAAAAATTTTTTAAAGATTTTATTTATTTATTTGTCAGAGAGAGAGAGAGAGCACAAGCAGTGGGAGAGGCAGGCGGAAGGAGAAGCAGGCTCCCCACTAAGCAAGAAGCCCAGTGAGGGACTCCATCCCAGGACCCCAGGATCATGACCTGAGTCGAAGGCAGACACTTAACCAACTGAGCCACGCAGGAGCCCCAGAAATTAAAATTTTAAAAGAAGCAAAACGAAACATGATTAGATCCAAACTGAATAAATTTCTTGTCTCGTGGAGAATTTCTGCTATCTTTTATTTTAGGAACCCTTTGTGTAATCTAATTATTTTTCCATAGTTGTCTTTACAAAAAACCTACTCTGGACTTTGTTTACCTTCTTTTTAAGTAACTTAAATTTTTTATTTATTCATTTTTTAATAATTATATTCACATAGCTCAGAACCGAAACACTCTAAGTGAAGAGTCTCCTTGCCCTCATGTACCCCTTCCCCCCTTCTCACCAGTTCCTGTTCTCCCTACAAAATGATCACTATTATTATATTTCTTTTGTACCTTTCCACATACTTTATATACAAATATAAGCAAACTTGAATGTATATACCCTTTCTTACCCTTAATGTCCGGTGCCTTGCTTTTGTCACTTAAAATGTCCTGAAGAATATTCTACATCAGAACTCAAAGAATTCCCTCATTCTTTGTCACAACTGCTTAAATATTTTATTGCATAGATGTATCAGAATTTATTTTACTATTTCCTTATTGGTGGGCATTAGTTGCTATTACAAACAATGCTCCAATTAGTTTTCATGTAAATACATCATTTAACAAGTGTGGAATTAGGATAAATTCCTAAACATGGATTACCTGAGTCAAAGGTACCATGCATTCATAATTTTGATAAATATGCCAAGCTGCACTCCACAGGGTTGACCAGTTCACCCTCCTATCAGCAGCATATAAGAGTGCCTGTCTTCCTGCACTCTTAATACATTTATCATAAAACGTGTTTTTCAAATACAGCTATACTGAGTTATAATTTGTGTAATAAACTGCATCCATTGAAGGTATACACTTCATCAAGTTTTGACAGATGTATTTACCTGTGAAATCACTACCACAAACAAAATACAGAATATCTCCATTTCCCCCAAAAGATTCCTCATGATCCTTTGTAATCCATCCTTCTCTTCACACCTGGCCCCAAACAAACACTGATTTGCTTTTTGTCACTATAAATTAGTTTGTATACTCTAGAATGTCATATAATTGAAATCATATACGTATGATTCACATATTTTTTTGGTGAAGTACTCCTTCAAATCATTGTCCATGTTTTTATCGGCTGAAATGTCTTATTGAGTTATAAGAATTCCTAATCTGAATACAAGTCCTCTGGAAGACATCTGTATTATGAATATTTTCTCCCATTCTGTGTCCTGTTTTGTCTTCTTTGAACTTTAGAAGAGCAAACTTTTCCCCCCTATCTGGAGACCTAGTTATCTCAATGATATTAATGGACAATTGTTTCCCCTACTGAACTGAGATTTCACCTATACTGTATAATGCATTTCTGGACTTTTCATTCTGTTCCACTGGTGTGACTGTCTACTAATGCTCCAGTACCACACTACTTTAATAACTGAACTTATATAATAAGTATTAACATGTGGTAAATGTCCCTTTTCTTCTTTAGAGTTGTCTTGCTATTCTATTTCACTTACTTTTCCCTGAGAACTTGACAATAAAAAACTTTAGCTGGGATAGTGCCACATTTGTGAATTAATTTGTAGATTAATTAATTTGTAAATTTGTAAATTAAAGGAGAACTGATATATTACAAATACTGAGTCTTCCTTTATCAGTTAGCTATTACTACATAACCAACAACCCCAAACTCTGTGGCTTCAAACAGCCATTTATTTAACTCTGATTCTGTGGGTGGACAATCTAGGATATGCTCATCCCAGCAATTCTGGTCTCAGCTGACTTTGACTGGATTTGCTCATACACCTGAGGTCAGCTAGAGACCTCACTGGTAAACTGGAGACATTATTGGCCTTATTATGCTACTTAGAACCTCTAGTACTATGTTCAATCTAGTGACAGTGGGTTTCCTTGCATTGTTCCTAATCTTAGAAGGAAAGCATTCAGTCTTTCACCAATAAGTATGATGTTAGCTTTAGGTTTTTAAAAGAAAATAGGTGTTCCTTATCAGGTTGAAGAAATACCCCCATTTCTATTTTTCTGAGAGTTTTCAAAAATGAATGCTGGATTCTGTCAAATGCTTTAAATATACTGATTGATATAACCATGCAGACTATGAATATAGATTACACTGATTAATTTTCTAATATTGAACCAGGCTGGCATCCCTGAACTAAATCCTACTTGTCATGGTCTATACTTCTTTATATAGATTGCTGAATTATATTTGCTAATAGTTTATTAAGATGTTTTGTATATTTATTCACAAGGGATATTGGTTTGTTGTTTTCCTTTTTCGTACTCTGGTTTTCTATCACACTGATACCAGCTTCATAAAATGAATAGGGAAATATGCCCTCCTCCTCTGTTTCTGGAAGAAATTGTGTAAAATCGGTATTAATTCTTCTTTAAATGTTAGAATTTGCCAGTGAAATCATTTGGGCCATGGCATTTCTTTTTTGGAAATTTGTAATTACAAATTCAATTTCCTTACAGTTATGGAGCTACTCAAATGATCTATTTCATACTGGGCGAGTCATGGTAGTTTGTGTTTTGGAGGAATTGGTCCATTTTATCCAAGTTGTCAAATTTATATGTGTGGTGTTGCTCATAACATTACCTTTTATACTTCTGATATCTGAAGGGTCTATAGTGATACCTGTTGTTTCATTTTTATAATGGTTGTCTCTTCTTTCTCATTTTAGTCCTGCTAGAGGTTTATCAACTACACTGATCTTTCCAAAGAATCAACTCTTTATTTCATTAATCTTCTCTATTATTTTTCTGTTTTTCATTTCATCAATTTGTACTCTTATTTTTAGTTTCTTCTTTCTGCTTCTTTTGGGTTTCTTTTGTTCTTTGTTTCCAGTTTCCTGAGTAGGTGTTTAGATTACTGTTTCAAACATTTTCTTCTTTTCCAATATATGCATTTAGTGCTACAAATTTCCCTGTCACCACTGCTTTAGCTGTGTCTCACCAACTTTGATATGCTGCTGTCTTTTTGTTTTCAATGTCTTTTGAGTCCACTTGACACTTCTTTGACCCATGATTAAGAAATGTCATTTAGTCTTCAAGTGTTTAGAGATTGTCCTGTTATCTTTACATTATTGATCAGTTTGATTCCACTTCAGAGAACATACTATATATGATTTCAATTTTTAAAGTTTGTTTCCCCAGGATGGATGTTCTGTAAGCACTTGAATGTGTACTCTACTATTGTTGAGCAGACTGCTCTGTAACACGGATTAGATTCTGTTATCTGATGATGGTGGTGGTGTTGAGTTCTTCTATACCCTTGATGACTTTCTCTCTCTTGTTCTGTCAACTGTTGAGAGAGGAATGTTGAAGTCTCCAACTATCATAGTGGATTTATCTATTTCTCCTTTTAGTTCTATAAATTTTGGGTTCACATATTTTAAAACTTTGTTGTTCAGGGCATACACATTAAGATTGCTATGTCTTCTTGGTAATTTTACCCTTGTATCATCGTAAAATATTTCTCTCTAGTAATTTTCTTTGCTCGGAAGTCTATTTTATTATTAACATATTAACATATTAATTAGTATATTATTAATTATAATTATATATCATAATATATTAATATAACATTAATATAACCACTCTTGCTTTCTTCTAATATTTCCACACATGTTTTTTTTCTCCTTTTACCTTTACCCTGCTTATACCATTATGTTTGAACTCAATTTCTTACAGACAGCATATAGTTGGGTTATGTGTTTTAATCCACTCTACCACTATCTGTCTTTAACTGGTACCTTTAGACCTTTTACAGTTAATATAATTATTGATATTGATATTGACTTTAGTCTGCCATTTCTTTGTTTTCTATATTTTCATTTCTGTGTTTTATTTTTCATGCCTTACTGTGGGTTATTTGAACATCTTTTAGAACTATATTTTGATTTATCTGTTTCTGAGTGTATCTTTTATATAGCTTTTTAGTGGTTGCTCTAGGTATTATATTATATACACATATGATTATATATATATGCTTTATATATGTAATATATATTACATTCATTACACATTGTGTGTCTGTGTAGATCTTCCCTGACTTAGGAGGAGTTATGTCCCAAAAAACCCCCTGTAAGTTAAAAATATAAGACAAAAATGCATTTAATATACCTAACTTACTGAATTATCATAGCTTAGACTAGCTCACCTTAAACATGCTCAGAACACTTAGATTAGCCTGTGGCTCAGCAAAATCAACACAAAGCCTGTTTTATAATAAAGTGTTGAATATCTCATGTGATCTGTTGAACATTGTATTGAAAGTAAAAAACAGAAAGGTTGTGTGGATATAGACGGTTCTAAGTGTATGGACTGTTTACCCTTGGACTATGTGGCTAACTGGGAGCTGCAGCTTGCTGCCCAGCATCAGGAGAGAGGATTATACTGCATACCACTGGCTTGGGAAAAGATCTAAATTCAAAATTTGAGGTATGGCTTCTACTGAATATGTATTGCTTTCACACCGTTGTAAAGTCAAAAAATCGTAATTTGAAACATTGTAAGTTGGGGACAGTCTATTTATATATATTGTCTACTTGTGTCATCATTTATTAGAGTGATGTACAGAAACCTCACCACCCCTTACCATTCTGTATAGTATTTTCTTAATATTTTCTCTACATATATTTAGAATCATTAGATAGTATTATAATTTCTATTTCAATTGTCAAATATAACTTTAAAGACTCAAGACTGGGAAAGTCTAATATGTTTACTTGTATTTTTGCTTACTGTGGTTTTTCTTCCTACTGTTCCTAGGTCAGTTCTTTTATCATTTCCTTAAGTTTAAAGAACTTCTTTTAGCTATTCTTTTAGGACAGGTTTTCTGGCAACAAATTCTCTTAGTTTTCCTTTATCTGAGAGCGTTTTGATTTTCCCTTCATCCCCAAAGGATATTTTCTCTGAACAGGATTCTGTATTAACAGTACTTTTCTTTAAGCATTTGAACAATACTATGCCACTTTCCTCTGGCCTCCATGGTTTCTGGTGAGAAATTGGCTGTCATTCTAATTGTCTTCGCCTATAAGTAGATAGCATGTCATTTCTCTCTTGGAGCTTTCAAGTTTTTCTTTGTCTTTAGTTTTCCTATGTTTAATTACAATGTGTTTGGCATGGACTTTCTGGGGCTTATTCTGTTTTCAATTCACTCAGTTTCTTCAATCTGTAGTTTTAGTTCTCTTGCCAAATCAAAAGTTTTGGCCATTATTACTTCAATATTTTTTAGCCCCTCCTTTCTTCTTTCCTTCTGGGACACCGACAGCAGGAACATTAGATCTTTTGTTATAGTCACGCAGGTCTCAGAGGTTGTATTTACTTTGTCAATCTATTTTTTTCTCTGCTATTCAGACTGAATCATTTCTATTGCTCTATTTTCCAGTTTCTGCTCTTCCTCTACTCCTTCCATTCTACTACTGCTACTGCACTCATACACTGAGTTTTTTACTTATATTTTCCACTCCTAAAATATCTGCCTCTCTTTTATATCTTCTATTTCTTTGCTGAGATATTCTATTTTTCCATCTGTTTTAGGTGTATTCATTTTATCAAGCTTGCTTTAAAATCTTTGTCTGATATTTCTAACATCTGTCACCTTGATGGTGGCATCTACTGACTGCGTCACCTTTTTTTTTTCCCCTTTGGTATCATCCTGGTTCTTGGTATGATGATTTTTTAATAGAAGCCTGGACATTTCGGGTGTTATAAGATTCTATTTTTTATTTAAAACTTTTGTTTTAGTTGGTTCCTCTAACACCACTCCAGCAGGGAAAGAAGGGACAACATCTTGTTAGGTTGCCCATTTCGACACCACTGACCCCCAAGGTGGGGGATGGGATCCTAATTATTGCTGGACAGGGATCAGAGTTCTGGCTTCCTGCTAACCCCCACATTGAAACCTCTTGCTTGGAGGGGTACAAATGCCTCATGTGCATTCCCATGCGGCCTCTGCTATGCTGAGTGGTGGAGAAAGGTCTGACTCTCCATTACGCTTTATCTGAGATCATCCCAGCAGAAACTGGAAAAGGGAACCTCATTACTGCTGGGTGAGTGTGGAAGTCCAGGCTCCTCACATGATCTGCACTGACATTGCAGTGGGATAGCCTCATTATCACCCAGTGGGTGGAATCCCAGCTGGATACTTTACTAGAAAACTATCAGAATTTTACATCTCAATGGGGTCATAGAAATTATAATTTACCTCCCCCACCCCATCCCTAATTTTATTTTTATTTATTTTTTTAAAGATTTTATTCATTTATTCATGAGAGACAGAGGGAGAGAGAGAGGGAGAGAGAGAGAGAAGCAGAGGGAGAAGCAGGCTCCCAAGGAGCAGGGAGCCCGATGCGGGACTCGATCCCAGGAACCCGGGACCATGACCTGAGCTGAAGGCAGACACTTAACCATCTGAGCCACCCAGGCACCCCCATCCCTAATTTTAAAAACAAGGAAAGCAAGGTCCAGAAAAAGTTAATAACTGTCTGAAGTCACACAGCTAGTTTGTGGGAAAAAAAAAAAGGATAACATCCAGTTTTCCCAAATCTCTCCTTATCACTTTTATTTTTAATCATAAGGGCCCATTTTGCTATTTTTTTCCAAAGGAATAATTTTTTCTCATATAATTACCTGCCATACACCAATATTGGCTGAAGGTTCTGAGAATGGCCGTTTGAGGACTCTGCACATTTTTAAGGCATCTGAATTAACTTCAGTGAAGTTATTCAACACAGCAAAGGCAGCTGCTAATGGGTAAACGCAGGAGAAAAGGCTCACGTAACCAAACTGAAGGAATAATTCCAAGTAATCATCAAAGGTGCCCTGAAAATGTAAACCACGAGAAGAAAACAGGCATTGTTTTAATATAATTTAATAGGAACAACATCTTGCAATACTACCCAAGGCACTGGCCTCCAACCAAAAAAAAATCTCAGAATTCCTCCCAACTTCTTCTTCTCAACAACAGAATTTACATAAATTCAAAAGCAATTTTATATTTTAAGTCCCTGAAAGAATGAAAAAATGATTTAGCTACTCATTTCATTGTGCCAAATCACTGAATTATTACATAATAACAGCAAAGCTAAAGATGTTTGTTCTTGATCAACTGAAAAGAAATGATTCAACATCACTATTAGAAATCTTACATGACTGCCCCCTCACACCATGGGTACCCCAGGACCCCATTAAAAAACTGAAGGTGGTAATGATGTGGGAAACAAAGGCAAAAGAAAAATTATTAAATTTCCTCACTATTTACAGCTCATTGACAAGTCCTTGCAACAGGCAGAGTGACCTTCCTCTAGGAACTCAGCTGCCTCCATGTTAATATTTTGCAAAGGGCAAAAGGCAAAGTTAGACACAACCCCCATGATGCTGTAAGTCTACTTTAACATAAAAATTCCTTTGGAAACTTCCTTTATCTCAAATCCCCCCATCTCCACCAAGATACATGTTGGCAATCATCCTCCAAGCATATACATCTGAAGGGTCTCATGACCGAGGGTTTACTAAATAATAATAAATGACCTTTTCCCAACAATAGCTCGCCCCCTCAGGATCCTGGAAACCTTGTTTCCAAAATACCTGGGAGGCTTATGCCATCCCTAACCCCCTCCCAACTTGAAAGTACATAATGGGTCACTCCTCATGACCCCAGGAGCCGCTCTTTCTGCCCACGGGTCCTGTCCCCATGCTTTAATAAAACCACCTTTTTGCACCAAAGACATCTCAAGAATTCTTTCTTGGTCATTGGCTTAGAACCCTGTCTTTCCTTTATCAGTGATGCCAGTGAAAATGGCAGAGTAAGGACCTCCAGAAGTTTGCCCCTCCATGAAAATGGAGAAAAATGGCAAAATGTATCAGAACCAAATTTTCGGGTACTCTGGAAGTTAACCAAAGGCTTGTAGCAATTCTGGCTGCATACAGTCATGACAAACATCTCAATCTTCTGGCATTTTAACTTACTCTAGTCTCATCTCCTGCTCTCCAGCTCTGCAGCAACCTTGAAAAAAAAAACCCCCAAAACAGCATGCACTCCCAGGACCAGAGGGAGCAGAGTGGGGCTGGAGATCTTTGAAAGCCTCATTCCCAAAGGGAAACCATTATCCGACCTGGTTAGTGGTACCTTAGAAGAGCCTCCACTCGAAAGGCTCATCTTTATTCAATTTCATTGAGTCTCTTTCAGTGCTAAAGCCTTGTTATGGTATGTTAGCTGAATTTTTAAACATCAGTCTGCCTGAGGTAACAGGTAGCAGCTGGGGCAAACAAGAGACTAGCTAGGGAGCTCAAAGGGCAAGCTGAGGAATGAGACAACCCACAGGGGGTTTGAAAAGCTCCAACATTTTTCTGGAAATCTAAAAGGACAGGCACATGCATAGGATCATGCATAATCTCAGAAGAGATCTGAGAAGGCTCTAAGATCTCACCTCTGCATAAGCAGAAAGTGAATGCTAAGGCAGAATTTTAAACTTCCTGGTTTAGTGTTGAAGGCATGCCCCACCACAAAAACAGAGACCTAACAGACATCTGATGAAGGATAGAAGCAAAAAAATGTTCACCTTTAGCCCAGTAAGCTGACCTATGGCCTGCATAATTTTGATAAGGATCAAATTAAGTGCTGGTTGCTACATTCTTAAAGCGTCTCATGTCTGCCTGTATATCTCACTGATAGTTAATACTGAACTGAATGATAAGCACTAGAGAAATCTCGCAAAAGTAGTGTTACAAGTAGAAATTTGAAGAAACATTCATGATCTAATACTCCCTACATGTCCCCCCGCCTTGAGCATTAAGCATATAACCACCAGATTCATAAAGCAAAAGTGTAAATCTTTCTGCCTGAAGGTCCTGTCCCTATGGACAGAAAGCACCTTTTTGAACCAAAAATGTCTCAAGAATTCTTTCTTGACTGTTCACTTGCAGCCCCACATCAACATTTACATAACACGGAACCCAACAACAGAATACTCATTCTTCTCCAGTGCACATGAAACATTCTTCAGGTTAGATAAGATGTTAGATCATAAGACGATTCTCAACAAATCTAAAAGACTTAAAAAATCATACAAAATATCTTCTCTGACCACAATGGAATGAAAGTGGAAATCAATAACAGAAGGAAATTTGGGAAATTCACATATTTTATGGATATTAAGCAACATACTCCTAAGAAACCAGAGTCAAAGAAGAAATCACAAGAAAAATTAGAGAATACCTTGAGATGAATGAAAATTAAGATACAATATATCAAAACTTATAGGATGCTGTGAAAACAGTGCTCAGAGGGAAGTTCATGGGTATAAATGCCTTCGTTTAAAAAAAAAAAAGGCAGATCTCAAAACAACTAAAATTTTCACCTTAAGAATCTAGTAAAAGAATAGTAAACTAAATCTAAAGCAAGCAAAAAGAAATAAAACACAACAAAGTTTTATAGATATATATGATAATTTATATAATATACATTTTATTTTTTTAAGATTGTATTTATTTGTCAGAGAGAGAGAGTGAGAGAGAGAGAGCACAAACAGGGGGAGTGTCAGGCAGAGGGAGGAGCAGGCTCCTCACTGAACAAGGAGCCCGATGTGGGGCTCGATCCCAGGACCCTGGGATCATGACCTGAGCCTAAGGCAGATGCTTAATCAACTGAGCCACCCAGGCATCCCTAAATATGTATTTTTATATAATTATATATAGTCATCTCAATAGATACAGGAAAAAAAACAAAATCTGATACCCTTTCATGATAAAAACACTCAACAAATGAGTAATAGTAGAGAATTTCCTCAAACTGATAAATAGCATCTATGAATCACCATGGCTAACATCATACTTAATGGTGAAAAATTGAAAGCTTCCCACCTAAGATCAGGCACAAAACAAGAATGTCCGCTCTTAACTCTTCAGTACTGTCCTTCGGGTTCTAACCAGAACAATAAGGCAAAGAAAGAAAGAAAGAAGAGCCATCCAGAACAAGACAAGAATGTCTGCTCTTAACTCTTCTATTCAACACTGTCCTTCGGGTTCTAACCAGAACAATACGGCAATGAAAGAAATAAGAGCCATCCAGAACAAGAAAAGAAGTAAAACTATTTCTATTTGCAGAGGACATAATATTATATATAAAAAACCCCTAAAGAAACCCCCCCCAAGAGACTATCAGGTCTAATAATAAGCAATCTAATGATAAACTTCAGTAAGGTTGCAGGATATAAGATGAACATACAAAAATCAATGGTATTTCTATAAACCAGCAATGAACAATCTCAAAATGAAATTTAAAAATTCATTTACAATAGTATCAAAAAGAATAAAACAGTAATAGATTTAACAGAATGTAATATTTGTACACTGAAAACCACAAAGCATTGCTGAAAGAAATTAAGGACCTAAATAAATGGAAAGATATTCCATGTTTACAAATTAGAAAAAATGGAAATACTCCCCAAATTGATGTATAGATTCAATGCAATCCCAATCAAACTTCCAACTACATTTTTAAAAGAAATGGACAAGCTAATCCTAAAATCATAAGGAATTGCAAGGGGCCCAGAATAGCCAAAACAACCTTTAAAAAGAACAAAGTTAGAAAAATCACATTTCCTGATTTGAAAACCTACTACTAAGCTACAGTATAGTACTGGCATAAGGATAGACATGTAGAGGAATAGCACTGAGAGTCCAGAAACAAATCCATGTATCTATAGTCTTATAATTTTCAAAAAATGTGTGAAGACCATTAAATGAAGAAAAAAATGATTTTTTAAAACAAATGCTGCTAGGACAGCTGGATATCCACATGCAAAAGAATGAATCTGGACTCCTTCCTCATACTACCTACAGAAATTAATTCAAAATGGATCAGACCTAAATGTAAAAGCTAAGTCTATAAAATTCTTACAAGAAAATATAGGAGTAAATCTTCCTGCGTTTAGGTAAGGCAATGTTTCTTAGAGATGACACCAAAAGAACAAGCAACAAAAAAGAGAGAAATCTGACTCCATCAAAATTAAAAGCTTTTGTGCATCAAAGGACACTCAAGAAAATAAAAAGCTAACCCACAGAATGGGAGGATATATTTGCAAATCATATAGCTGGTAAGAAATTTATATTCAGGGGCATCTAGGTGGCTCAGCTGGTTAAGCAACCAACTCTTGATTTCAGCTCAGGTCACGATCTCAGGGTGGTGAGACTGAGCCCTGCATCAGGCTTTGTGCTAGGTATGGAGCCTGCTTAAGATACTCTCTCTCCCACTCTCTCTCTGCTCTTCCTTCTACCCCTCTCACACTCTCTCTAAAAAAAAAAAAAAATGAACTCTTGCAATGAAATAATAAAAAGACAGATAATCCAATGAAAAATGGGCAAAGAGTATGAATATGTATTTCCCCAAAGACGAGACACGATGGTCAAAAAGCACATGAAAAGACAATCAGTATCTTTAGGCATTAAGAAAATGCAAATCAAACCCACAGTGAAATACCATTTCACACGTATTAGGTGTGGCTATCATTAAAGAGGGGGAAGGGTGCCTGGTGCCTCAGTTGGTTAAGTGTCCAACTCTTGGTCTCGCTCAAGTCATGATCTCATGGTCGTGAGATCAAGCCCCACGTCCAGCTCCATGCTCAACGTGGAGTCTGCTTGAGATTCTCTCTCTCTCCCTCTGGCCCTCCCCCCCACTTATGCATATGTTCTCTCTCTCAAATGAGTAAATCTTAAAAAAAAAAAGAAAGTTATTTAAAAAGGGGGAAAAAGGCAAAACACAACAAGTGTTGATAGAGATGTAGAAAAAAATGAGACTGGTAAGGATGGAAAATGGTACCACT